GTCACAAAAAAGTTTAATGGGTTAGCATTGATAGAGATTAAGAATGATATTTTGGAGAAAATTGACTATGAATATTTGGTTGACAATTTTGCTTCTAAGTGTGTTTAAGGATGATACTTTTTAAATAAAATATCACGATTATAAAGTTGTTTTGTGATATTATTTTATTTTCATATGTTTAATTTTTTTTATAAGAAACACTAGTAATATGATAAATTTTGATATTTTATAATTTCATTTATTATAAAATATTTTGGGAAACTCATTTTAAAAAGTAGCACATGATCTTTACATCTTTTGAGAGGACATGATATTATATACCTTGCTCCGAGAAAGGTATTGGCCTAGTGCAGTGCTATGGTTGAGTTTGAATGACCCAGTCTTAAGGTTGAGGAGAAATGCATTTTATCCTTAAAGTTGCTTCCTGCCAATCTCTTTCGCCAATAATTTACTTGGTTTGGGGCAAACTTTCTATTTCTCCTTTATAATATATACTTCCCACCCAACCTCTTGTTGCCAGCTTTCAAGGAAGCTCCTTCACACGTATAGATTTTCACTTTTTTCCGTCATTAATTGGAGTAAGATATATACATATGTTGTAATATGTAACCAAACGTGTCACAAATTAATTGGAGATCAAATTTATTTTAATTGAATTAAGCTATGACTAAATTGATAGAATATATAAATATTGATGATCAAATGTACAATTATACCAAGTTTTTTAACGGTCAAATCACCTACTCCATTAAATGTTTAATTGAAGAATTTAAATAGTTGGATGGTTTGATTCACGAAATCAAAATATTAGTGGTCAAAATGAAAAGGGGTAATAGTTTAGTGGTCACCCGTGTAGTTTACCCATAAGTATAATAAGTTATATATAGAATCCGGAAGCTAAACAAAAGAATTTGATGTTTGAACTTCAAATATATCTTATATCGTATCTTAATCTTAAGATAATGATTCATTTAAGACTGATTGTATAAACAAAGGATTATTATTTGATGAGCTGTATATAAAAAGTAATTTTATAAATATTATTAAAATGATGATAAGTGAATTTTATAAATATATTTTTAAAAAGTAATTTTATTATTTGATGAGCTCGAAATGATATGGGAGTCTGGAGCTTGGGGTTTTCTAAATTCCTTGGTATTTGTTCGATGCTGGATGTCGAACTTTGGGGGGCCTACTATGCTTTACTTAATGCGTGGGGTTTCGAAAGGTTGTCCTGGAGATCGATAGTATGGACGCTGTCAATGTGTTGACGGATAATATTAAGGGGAGTCGCTCAATGAAATGGCATGTGGGTGAGTTGCGGTGGCTGATATGTTCGATCCTACATGGGGACTTAGTCCTAAGTGATTCATTGTTGTTTTGCAATTAAATATAAATATGAATACTCTTTTCTTCGTATCGATTAGGAAGGTTTTTAAGAGGTTCATATTAATATTTCCCGATGTACTATCCCTTTCTAATGGAATCATGCTATTTACCAAAAAAAAGAAAAGGAGACTTGTCATTGACTAAACAATATTTGTAGAATTATATTTTTGTAACGCAACAATAATTATCCATTAAAAAATAGATTAATTCCTTTATTTTTTTTATAAATATATTGTTTATAAATGGAATTACTCATCTTATTTGGCAGATCTTGCATATTTAAAACATGGTTTTTTGTAATTCGGAAAAGTTCAACATGAACAAATACTTCTATTGAATTTTTTTATTAATTATATTGTAAGTTAAACACGGTTATTGTAATTAAGACAATTTTATTCATATGTCATGCTGATTCGAACTAACCCATAAACACAAAATTGAGAACTTATGTAAGCCCCAATAACATGAAATACAATATTCATACACAAATTGTTGAATCGAAATTGAGAAATGAAAAAAAAAAATGGTAACGTTTCATTCAAAAGAATGTCTGCTTATCTATGAATCGCCATTGTATATTTGTACTTCTCGTTAATGAAGAAATATGTGTTTCTTAAACAAGCCTTTTAATCCTCAACTATGCATGCTAGTAGATTCATCACCAATCTTCACCTATGTTACTTGGATTCAGGTGAGTGTCGGATAAGAATATATTTCGAACATGAGCGTTTGGTTTTTAAAGCTATTTCAACGGTCATCGAAAGATCGTATCCACGTAATTATGTTCGATATGCATCTGAGAGACATACACCCTTACCTGGGATCTTATGAGCCATACGAAAGGCACATGACTCGATTTGTCGGACTCTTTCTTGGCTTACACCCATCGATTCGCCGATTTCTTGCAAAGTTTTCATCCTTCCATCTTCCATTCGAAACCTCCATCTAATCACCCGTCTCTCTCTCGGACTCAAGCTTTCCAACTTCTCAATATCCTTCTTCATCAACTGTTTGATCAGGATATCTTCCGGTGTACCTGCTTCAGGATCCGCAATTACTTCCTGGAAAATATATTAACATACTCCGATCAGGATATCTTCCGGTGTACGCTGTAATGCTTACAGGTTGAAAATGGAGAAGATAAGAATTTGAAGTAGGACAGACCGAAAGTTTGAGATTTTGGTTGATCCCGATCTTCTGATCAAGAGATTGAGGAGCCTTCGGCGTGAGTAGAACAGTGGTGAGCCTCTTCAGGGAGAGCCCTGTTGCCTCTGCAACTTCTTTATTGTTAGGCTGTCGTCCATTTTCGCTGTACGGCTGCTTTCTAGCTTCCTTCACTCTATAGGTTGCGTCAACCATGTGAAACTGCAAAGCCGATAAAGTCAGCAGAGTTAACCGATTCGATGCATTAATTTCAATAATAACTACAGTTATCAAGAAATATTGTTATAACAGTAATTGAAGTGTTTAATTTATCTTAGAGACTTCCATGGCAATGCATTTAGGACTGGAACACGATAGAACTTACCGGCAAGCGAATTGTCCTTGACTGTTCGGAGAGTACAGCTTGCTTAATCCACCAGTGAGCGTAAGTTGAAAACTTGAAACCTCTGGAAGGATCGAACTTCTCGATGCCTCTTACAAGGCCTCGGCATCCTTCCTGTGAGTGAACCAGAAAGAATAAGACACTAAAACATAACCTGAAGCTGCTCTTTCTATCTTTTATTTTCTTTTCTTCTTCAGGAAGAGCGGCTGCATGTAGGATATTGCATACCTGAACAAGTCTTGGAAATTCATCCCTGTTCCCCGATAGTTTTTTGCAATTGAAAAAACAAGTCGTATGTTGCTTTTAATCATTTTGTCCTTGCAAAGTATGCCATAATTTAAGCGCCTCCTCAGGGTCTTATGATCAACTCCAGCAGCAGCTGCCCACTCTACAAAGGCTGGAAATCCTCCGGATCGCTCTGCAAGCTCCTCTGGAGTTTTTCCAGTTTCAATAGGTCCTGAAGTCGACAATACAAGGAAAAATTAGTTTATCAATATGGCTGTGACAGATTATGTGATGACAAGAGTCTTGTTTATCAAATGCTTGTCAAAATTATCATATCTGTATTCCTTCTGATAATTCAAGTTCTTCACTAGCAGTGAGAAGCCTGGAAGTACCATTAGTCCCTCTCAAGTTACGCAATGGATCAGAAGAGACGTCTCGCAAAGAACCATGCCCTTTTTTATTGGTGGAACTGGACTTCACAGAAGCAACATTGGCAACAGTAGCCCTCTGCTGCTGCTTTCGTTCTTCTGGCTTTTCGTTCAGGTTGGCGCTTTGACCTGACTGCTACATTTCTGGATAATTCTTCCTCAAGAAGTTCAAGTTCTTCATTTGTTGGTTCTAGTTCATCAGATTCTTTTGTGGAATTTCTCTCTGAATGATCTTCAAGTTTACGGACATCTTTAAGGCCATCTCCAATAATTCCAGCCCTCTCGGACTCAGTAAACAGGGCCCACTTGGATGTGGAAGTATCAGTTGTGGATTTAGTTTCTGTTTTAGAAGAACCATAGCTCTTAAACATCAAGCCAACATCCTTAGAAACATTAACAACTGCACGTGCAAGAGCTATGGCTTCAGCGGCGGCGGCAACAATTACAGTCTCATCGCTTGTAAGAAGATTTTTGGTTCCTAAAGTTGTTCCAAAGCATGCCTGCAGACATATCAGAGATAGTGAAATTTTAACTGTATCTCATATATCATATTTAACCTCATAACTAGCACCAACGTCTGTAGTAAAATTTGACTCTTACCACAATGAGATTATATAACCAGATACTAAAAAATTTAAATACAGGCCCAAATGATGCAACATAGCAAGACAATAGCGCCAAAACACAGTTCCTTGATTTTAGAAAATCACTGAGAAAACAGAATTGCTGAAATAAAAACAACTCAAATGGATCTACAGCAAACCCCATGGACTTCTAACCAAAATGCAGTTCCTTGAAAATTTTGGGCTCATTGTCTAGCATGAACTTCATAAGCGATAAACGATTCATAAGTTTATTGAGAAGCAATAAAATAGATGAAGTAAGAAACACATCTATTTTGAGAAGTGAAACAGAAAATACAGATTTTTTTCACAGAAATTATCAGTTCATATCCTAAAAGAACACAACTACCACTGAGGGTGGACCATTGCCTCTATATATGTCTCTTCTCTATCTGCAATAGCTGTATTCGTATGAGCTGAAAAAATTGGCAAACTTAGCTTCCTACATCAAGCATTGCGGTTGTTGCTTTCAATGTTGATGGTGATGTGGTGGATAAAACACATTGTTCTCGGAAACATACAGGTTCTTTATGTCTTGCTGCAGATTCAGCCAAGAAATCACGAGAAAGAAATTGTAGTGCTACCAAGTAGGATAATGAGCATACAAGAAACATTAAGATCCAATGAGACTTTAAAGCTTTACATTTAATAAACATTTGAAGAAATACACTAACAAAAGCATTACAAACTACAGAATTCTAAACATGATTGACTAGTTAAGGGGGTTGTTGCAGCAGGGGGCATTGGAAATATTGCAGTAAAAAACAAAAAAAATTGTAACGCATTGTTGTATTCTTCTAAGGAAGTTATTAATACGTGAATCACGAGCATCGAAGCCAATATAGATCAATCTGCTAACTGCAAGAGCATCAGTGAACTTGCAACAATTGTGTTACTTAGTAGGAGAAAAGTATTACCCATTGTAGCAAAATCAATTAAACAACTAGCCCCAAAGGAAAGATTAAATGATATATAATTCTAAAGCCAAATTAAGCTAATTAGTCCCTCAGGTGCTGTGAAGACAGTTCATTCTTTGTCTCTTATGCAAGGCATTAACAATCGAAATGTAGGTAATGCTCAATGAAACCCATTAAGAATGAAAATGAAGCTGGGGTTGGCATAATTTAAATTGTTATGTTCATTGGATTCGGATGTGAGTGCTGAACATCGGTACATATCCGAAATGCGTATGTTCAATTTTTTTTCTCAAGATTTTTGGACAATCCTTGGATGGTCATATCCCATACCTCAAGAAAAATAAAGAGTCAGAACAACCAACAGAGGTTGAAAAAGCGACAAAGCTGCATTAAACTCTCTCTTATCCGAGATAAAGAAAGGTTCTATTGTATGAAAATACACAAAAGCAGCAAAAACTGGTCTGAATTATGGTAGAAATAAAAGGCATTTGCAACCAGACCAGAATCGAATCCATCCGATTAAATATCATTCTGACATGGGATAGGGTTTGATCATCCAAAACTTGGTCAAAATTGAGCACACTGATTGATATTTATGGCATTGAAATTACTACCGAAAATAGAGCAAACAAATTAAGATTCAGGTTGAAACAAATCCAAAAGCGGAGAATGACAATGCAACACAAAACTAGCAAAAAAAGACCCTTTTCACTTTGGGCTAAATATCCTTAACTATCCTAGATTAATCAAGAAAAAATTATCCTTAACTATCAGTCCACTCTCAATTTTAACTGATGACAAACAAATGCATTTATGAATAATAGGACTTCACCAAATTCAAAACTAGTGAAAAAAGCAAATCACCCCAAGTTCAGTTAAGATGGAATAAAATTATTTTATACAGACACTAAGCATTTGAAATTTTCTTTTTTTAAGAAAGGCGTTCTTTGGAGTGTGAAAACTTACAATGGTGAGGCCTGAAATTGATAGAGAAAGTTTGGTATTGGCACTTGAACTGTGGCAATAAACAGGACATCCTCTTCCTTTCCTCTATCCTTCCCTATTCCTCACTGAATAATTTAAAAACAAAAACTTTGTTTTCGTCTTTAAAACCCCATTGATAACAGTGGTTCCTTTAAAACAACAATGGGTGTTGTTTGATTGGTAGAATGCAGTGCCGAGTTTATAGGAAACAAGGAAGGAGAAGGACAAGGCGTGAATTTGGATATATATAATATGAAAAAAAAAGAAAAAAGAGAATAAGAATTGCCTGAGGGTCAAATTCTTTTTTTTAGAAAAGAAAATTCATTTAATTATCTAAACCAATGGCATCAAGCACAATACTGTTTGAGATACACTCAGGGTAGTCATCTACAAACCAAACTGGAGAAATACATGATAAAGCCCATTTTGCCAAAACATGTGCTACTCTATTTGAGAAGAATGACAAACCCTTTTCTTGTTTACTTTAGGGTAAACTACACGTTTAGTATACTAACTATCATTTTTGTTTGGTTTTAGTCACTCAACTATTATTTTTTTAAACTATTTCTAATGTTACGTTTTACTTTCGTTTTGGTTACCCATCGTTAAAAATTAATAAAATTACTAGCATGATATTTTTTAATGATGATGTGACATTACCTTATGACGACAAATTAGCATCATTGTTAATTTTATAGTGACAGGTGACTAAATAAAACTAAAACTAAACATTATGTATGATTTTTAAAAAAAAATAACTAGGTTACGAAAATGGAACAAAAATCATAGTTAAATTACTAAACGTATAATTTATCCTTTATTTTATCGGAACCAGTTTGAAAATCTTTTTTTAAGTAGAACTATGATATATTCATTTCTAAGAAGCATCATGTTAGGATTATGAAGAGGCTCAATTGAACAACTGAAAAAGTATAAAGGGGTTAATTGATAAAAATGTGATTAGGGAGTAAGGAGAACAAAAGATAGAAAAATTTGCACAAGAATATAAAATGCTTCGACTTATCAACCAAGTCTACATCCACTACCTTAGCTCCTCACTAAGGATTTTCTAATAAATTCACTAATTTGTTCTTTCTTTTTATTAGCTAAGATAGAACCAAAACCCTTTTACAAAAGGTAAAAAAAAAAGTAAACAAATAAACCTCTCAAAGGTAGGGTGTTTACAGATTTAGCTCACTAAAAGCACAAATATTTACAAGAGAGTGAAAATAAGATTGGAAAATTCTTCTCTTGTGTTTGAATGTTTGGATAGGTGTTCTAAACCTTCTTCAAGTGTCCACAACTTGTATTTATATGTTGGAATGTTGTTGTGGTCATTTCTAGCTGTTGGAGGTGTTTTGGAGCCATTAGGGATCAATTTTCGTGCAAAATCTACCCAAAACAGAGGGTATCGGTACTCCTAAAGGTAGTATCGGTACTACCTTTGTTATATTTAAATTAACTAGTCGTTACTAGCTGTTGGGGCATGATGGTATCGATACTATGCCTATATCGATACTAATATACAGAGTAGTATCGGTACCCCTTTGGGTATCAGTACCATTTTTGCATTCTGGAATTTGAGCATTGATGGTAGTATTGGTACTACCTAGTTAGTATCGATACTTCCCTTACCTTTGGTATCTGTACCATATGAACAGTATTGGTATTGTTCATTAGGTATCGATACTGTAAGAACAATATTGGTACTACTTGTCCAGAAAAATGTTTTGTGCTCAATTCCACTTTAAATGAACTTTGAATTATTTTTGAAAACTTTGAAAAAATTCAATTCAAGTCCAAAAACATTTTCCCTTAAATTGTTATAATAAAAATATAGTTCAACAATCTCTCCCTTTTTGATATAACAAAACATTGAAAAATTGTTTTGGCAAACTCCCCCATAATAAAATATTTAATGAAAAATATATCAATTGTTGGAAAAAGTATGAAAAGTTCAGCTCCCCTTTTTCATTAAGAAATTAAAATTTTCAAACCATACTTCTCCCCTTTTTATTAGATAAACTTTAAAGTTCAAAAATAACTTTGGAGAGTAAGTGGTAATTTTTTTCACATTAAAAACCATTTGAAAAATCAAAGCTCCCCCTTAAAAAGTTCCAAACAAAAATTGACTTTAAAAATTTGACACTTAAACAAAATTGAATTTCAACAAAGAGTAACAAAAATGTTAGTAACACAAGAAATTCAATATATCCAAGTCTAAAATACTTTATACAATATCCAATGTTGAAATTAAGTGCATATGCATAAAGCTTTTAAAAATGTTATGCATTTGAAAATTTTGATATCAATTGTTAGAGAGATATCTTTAACATTTAAAACACATGCATAAACATTTAAAATTTAGGTCAAAATTTAAAATTTGTAATATCAAAGCATTTGAAAAGTTGATATCAATTGTTAGAGAGATATCATTTGCATTTAAAACCAATTTTGACCAAAATTAACTATGATGAACTAAAAATTATGAAAAATCATTAAAAATTTAAAATGTTTATCATAAAACCTTTTTAACATACATGAGATGAAAAACAAAACATAACCATTTAAGATCAAAACTCATTCATGTCAAAAATCAAATGAGCAACCAATTATGCAAAACTAAAAAGCTTTTAAGCTTAGAGGTTACCCACTTCTTTTAGAGTGTGGCTAGAGCATCTTGATTTCTTCATTTTCATGATCATTGCTCCCACACACCTACAAGAGATATTTATTTGATTTTGGTATCCAAATTGCTTGGATCCTTGGACGTTAGTTTCAATACCCCTTGTTCCCTTAGGAACCCATACTTGTCTAATTTTAAAAGATTTTTGTTTTCTTTATGGGACTAGTATGTTCCAAATGACCATAGAAATGACAATGTGAACATTTTTCCATTTTTAAACATAATGTGTTGCTTTGAGAAATTAATTATTTTTCTTTTGTTAAGCTCTCAAGCTTAACTTTCAAATCAAAATTTTCTTTTTCTAAATCATTGATTTTGACTTTTGAAAGCTCTAAATCATTTTTCAAAATTTCATTTTGATTTTCAAAATCAACTTTGGCTTTCAAAATCAAATTATTTTCAACTTTAAATTTTGAAATCAATTTCTTATATTTGGAATTCATGGTCTCAAATTCCAAATACAACTCATTATAAGCATCTTGTAACTCATCAAAAGAATATGAATTTAAATCATTAGAGTTAGAATATACCATTGAATCTATTTCGATAGCCATGAGGCATAGGTTGGCTATTACATCTTCATCATTTGAGTCATCTTCATCATTCCAAGCCGCCACAAATGCCTTTTTCTTGCTTGATCCCTTCTTATTTAGGAGAGGGCATTCATACTTGACATGCCCCTTTCTTTGACAATTGAAGCACACCACGGGACCCTTCTTCTTGGTTGATTCATGCTTCACTTCCTTTGAAGACATGAATCTCTTAAACTTTTTGAAGAGCTTGTACATCTCTTCTTCTTCATCGTCTTCATTCACCTCTTCACTTGAATCTTGATTGCTTTCATTGGTGGACTTGAAGGCAATGTCTACCTCCTTCTTCTTCTTGTTTTGCTTCTCTTCATCTTCTTTCACCATCAACTCATGAGTAAGAAGAGAACCAATCTACTCATCGAGAGTGAGAGACTTTAGATCTCTAGCTTCTATAATTGTCATCTTATTCGATTACTAAGACTTTGGAAGAGAGTATATCATCTTCCTCATAAGCTTCTCATTGGAGATTAGTTCTCCAAATCCCTTAATACCATTGATAATCACGGAAAATTTATACGTCGTAGCTTTGATGTCTTCATCGAGTTTCATCTTGAAATTCTCATAGCTATGGTTGAGAAGACTTATCTTGGTTTCCCTCACTTCATCGGTTCCTTCATGAGTGACTTGGAGCTTATCCATATCTCCTTAGCATTGGAACAAGATGAGACTCTTTCATATTCATCTGGGCCTAATGCACAAAAGAGAATGTGCATAGCCTTAGCATTGAGTTGGAACTTCTTCTTCTCTCCATCACTTCAATCGTTCATCTCGCCGGTTGGAATGGTGTAACCTTTCATGATAGAGTTCCAAGCTTCTAGATCATTTACTTAAATGAAGAGCATCATCCTATTCTTCCAATAGGCATAATTTGCTCCATTGAAGTAGGGTGACTTGTTCACCGGTTGTGAATCTTCAATGTAGTAGGCACCGGAGGTTGAAGCCATTTCTTTTTTGGTTGT